CAGTGTGAAGGAAACAGGGGCCTTAAGATAGGCATCATTTACATTCATTATCATGTTAAGTCCCTTTGCAAGCGGAAAAAGAGACCTTGCTGTCAAGGAGAATTAGGCACCACGTTCTATCCTTTCTATCAATATGTACCTTTAATGCATCACCTTGACCTTTGCTACGGCCGATGTATAATGGAGAAGTTGCGTAGTCTCTGCTTCTATTTTGCTTTGTCTCATTTCCCACCGACCGGGGTAAAACAAAGAACTTAAAATGGTTACAAAGGGGACTTGTTTGTCAACCTCTGCAGCTGCAAGAAAGCAAAAAGAACATGTTGTCGCAAATGCGCCCCATTGAGGTATGTGATCGGTTGCATCCCTTCTTGAAACACTGGAAATACATTCTTTCTGCTCTGTAATATTTCTTCTTGTAACTGTGTACTGCCGATTTCATTTGCATTAAAATCTCTGCTGCATCATAATATCGGTCTTCTGGTTGGCCTTGTTTCTCCCTGCTCACTTAAAAATTTCATGGGACAAAATTCCTTCCTGTGGAGCTAGCACCACTGGGCACTTCTCAAATTGCAATTTTCGAAGCCCTGGAGTGATAGGAGAATCTGACCCTGGGAGTGGTTGATAGCATTCTGCAGGCCCTGAGTATCAGAGTGGAGTTCCTCCTTGCATTACCTGTTTTTGAATAGTCTTTTCCTGCAAAGACTTAGCTACATTTTTCACTTTAAGAATGTAAGTTTTTTTCTTTGATTTCAAGAAGGCCATTCACATGGTTCGAGGTAAGAGACTGCCTGAGTCTTTGCAGGACAGCGACCCAGGTTCTCCTAAGCTTGAGCGTGGAATGTTATAAGTTCTGTGCTGCTCCCAGCTTCTGCCCTTGGGGCAGGGAATTTGTCTATAAACAGAGGCAGCGTGATTAAGATAACAAAAGGCTTGTCATTAAATTAAATTACGGATGATTCTGAAAGCATTGCCAGGCAACCCAGTTAAAAGATAGGAAACAAAAGGTTGGAATAAATGGTTCATTTTCAGAATGGAGAGAAGTAAATACAGTAGTGGTGTCCCCCAGGGGCCTGTACTGGGACCAGCATTGTTCAACATATTCATACATGATCTAGAACAGGGGTCGGCAACCTTTCTGGAGTGGTGTGCCAAGTCTTCATTTATTCACTCTAATTTAAGGTTTCGCGTGCCAGTAACACATTTTAACGTTTGTAGAAGGTCTCTTTCTATAAGTCTATAATATGTAACTAAACTAATGTTGTATGTAAAGTAAATAAGGTTTTTAAAATGTTTAAGAAGCTTTATTTCAAATTAAATTAAAATGCAAAGCCCCCCAGACCGGTGACCAGGACCCAGGAAGTGTGAGTGCCACTGAAAATCAGCTCATGTGTCACCTTCGACACGCGTGCCATAGGTTGCCTACCCCTGATGTAGAAAAAGGGGTAAATGGTGAGGTGGTATAATTTGTAGATGATACAAAATTCCACAAGATAGTTAAGTCCAAAGCTGACAGCAGAGGACTCACAAAACCGGGTGACTTGGCAACAAAATGGCAGATGACATTCAATTTTAAATTAAAGTAATGCACATGGCAAAATATAATTCCAACTATACACAGAAAATGATGGGGTCTATATTAGCTGTTACCCAGCAAGAAAGAGATCTTGGAGTCATTTGCAGTACTCTGGGTGCACTATGCTTCCAAAGTACTGCAAATTTGTAAGAATCCTTCTCACTGTGCCTGTATCATCTTGAACTGCAGAACACTCATTCTCCAGCTTCAGAAGATTTACAAATTATCTCCAGTCATTAATGGGATAGACACAACTGAATAATGTAGCTGTCCTTAACGTGCATCAAGACCATACCAGGGAACTAGATGTAAATAAGATTGCTGACAGTTTCATCCAGAAAGCTACCGTGAGATGTAATGTCTTTCAACTGGGACATTAGTGAAGACAGCTTGTAGGAAATTGCAATTATTTTAATATTCTGCAATTGATGATAATGTAATTATGTAGTTCATAACAATGTAATCATTAAAATAGTAACGGTACCAATGATAGACACATATTCAATAACTAGAATATGAAAAAAGTGTATAATTATGCTGAAAATAGTCTACCCCAAAATTACCCCTCCCGTCCCCCAAACACACACACCTCTTCAAAAGAAACCACTGGCAAAAAGAAAAGTCAATGTCTCTGCTTGACACAACCTTTGCATGAATTTCACAGCGCTGGAGATGAGCTGAGAAGATTTAGGGCAATGGGTCAGAAATAGTTCAGCTTCATGTTGAGATTTTGGATTTCATTGCTTCAATAAAACTCAGTGAAATTAATCTTCTCATTCTTTGCCCTCATGTGTTTATCAGCTGGTCAGGAGCAATGTCCACTCCTTGGTCAAATGACACGACCAAAAGTTGATTTCACAAGGATGTTGCCAACACACTTGACTGAGTCCGTTCCACCCATATAGACAAATTACACTACGCCAACGTCATCTGCAGGAGTCCGAAATCTCATGTGTGATATGAAGAGATTTGTGCCCTGACCATTCATTCCATACAAGAATCTCATGGTTTTTGAGGTAACTGTGACTCACTGCACTCCATATTACCAGTCTTGTATGAAATCCCCTGGATGTACCATGGATTGATATTGCAAAAACTGCAGATAAAAAGATTACATTTCCCACTATATTTTTCTTCAACTTTTCTTTGACTCTCAGTTCCCAGAAGATGGACATTTTCCATCTAATCAAATTTTTGATTTGAATACATGAAAAGAAATACCTATCCAGACCATTCTGCATCTTTAAGGACATGGTACATTACTCAGGTAGGGAGATTTAGCCATCTGGCCAAGGGTTTGTGTAAAAGCAATACAGCTCTAGTTTTCAATATCAGACTGTACCCATGGACCACTCCTTGGAACAGAAGAACATAGGCATTGCTACACAAGATCAGACCTCTCTCCCACAGCGGTCAGTACCAGATGCTTCACTGGGAGGTGCAAGAAGCCCAGCAGAACACAGTTGTTCTGGGATCACCTGCCCATAGAGGAACTTTTATACTATCCCCTGTCAATCAGATCTGTCTCCATGATTGGATGAGACCCTGAAGCGCAAAAGTTTATACCCTTGTCAAACTTGAAGAAATGTAGTAAATTCATCTCAGTCTCCATTTGCTCCAGAGTGCTGCAAGCACCATTCCATCCGCGTCCCCAACAGACAGGTCTCAACTCCTCCGTCCCCTTTGAGATACACCAGGATCAATAATGAATTTAAAGCTGCAGCATTAAAGGCCTGAACAGCCCAAGAATAAACCTTTTGATATTAAGCAATGAGCCTTTCAGCACCAGATCACAAGCTTCATTGAGAACAAATGCCCAAATATCTCCAGGGTTCCTCTCTAAAATATCTACTTCGTTCTTTTTTCTTTTCTTTCAAATTGGAAGGCGTGGGAACTCTGATCCTTTGAATTGAAGTAACAGCATTTCATGCAAGACTGAAGACTTGACTTAACAGAACGGGGCCTGGGCTAAATCAGCATCTATTCCAATGATTTTACTTGTGGAAGTAGCTTAGCCAACCTCTTTCCAAAGAAGCCATTGATTTTAGATGCCTGATAAGAGAGGTTGCAGCCAGGCCCATTTTTCTGAAGTGCTGAGTACTCAAAACTCCCATTGAAGCTAATGGGAGATGTTCATGCTCGACATTTCTTGATAACAGGCCACAAGTTTTCCTTACTTGTGCACCACATTGGGGGTACCCAAACCTGAAGGACATCTTTGGCCAAGAGATTTGGAAGCCTTTGGTGATATTAAATGATAACAAATGGAAGAGCAATTAAACCCAAAGACCAATAGTATGATATAGCATATATCTGAATTTGAAATAAAGAGGAGTGGAAATTTGTCAAAATAAAGAATAAAGAAAGCAAGCAGAGTAACAAGACTAGATTTCCAGGAAGTGCTATGTCCTATCCCCAGCT